AGCAAAGCAATGAGAGGGAGGGAGGGAGGAATTAGGAAGATTTTATTTTATTTATTTATTTATTTATTTTTATTTATTTTATTGGTTGTTCAAAACATTAAGGAAGATTTTATTACAAGATACTTGCACTACCCAGGGGGAGAACAGTGTTTTTAAAAATTTATTGGATTCACTGCAAATGTATATTGGAAAATCTAGAGCAACAATTTTAAAGTTTTTTTTAAAAGCATACTTGATATACCAAAAAAGAGGAGACAATAAACCATAATTTTAGTCAGCTTTCCATCACTACAGCAAATTCCTAGATAATCACCTTTTAAAGAGAAAAGATTTATTTTAACTCACAGTTTCATAGATTTCAGCCCATGGTTGGCTCCATTGCTTTGGGACCTGTGGCAAGGCAGCACATTACAGCAGGAATGTTTGGAAGACAAAGCTATTCCCCTCATGGCTGGGAGTGAAAGTGAGATAGGAAGGGGCCAGGGTCCTACCATCTCTTTCAAGGGCATGCCTATAATGATCTGAAGACCTCCCAGTAGACCACATCTCTCAAAAGTTCTGTCACCTCCCAATACCACCTTGCAAGGAGCCAAGAGTTCACCACATGGACCTTTGAGGAAACTTATCCAAACCATAGCACATATAAAATGCTTAATTAAACCCATAAGAGGTATAAAAAGTGTGGAAGACAAAAATAGTAAGGGCAATACACAGAAAACAATAACAAGTTCAGTAGATGTTAATTCAACTAAATCAATAATTGTTTTGCATGTGAATAGTCTAAATACAATTAAAAGAAACTCATTTTTACTCTAAAAGCACATAACACTGAAATTAAAGAGATGGGGATAGATGTACCATGCCAACACTAGGTAAAAGAAAGCAAGATTAGTTATATTAATTTCAGATAGAGCAGACTTCAGAACAAAGAATATTACCAGAGATAAAAATAGATAGAACTACCCATACTTATGAATTCTACCTGGCTATGAAACAAACATCTCAAATTCAGCATGGCCAGTATTTAATCTTTAATCTTTCAGAAAATGAAATGGCAAGATATGCCATGTTCATGGATAGGAATACTCAATAGTCTCAAGATGTCAGTTCTTTCCAAGTTGACCTACAAATTCAATGCAATCCCAATGAAAATTTCAGCAAGTTATTTTGTGGGTATAAAAAAATTATTCTGAAGTTAATAGTCAATATAATATTATAGAACAACAAAAGTAGTGCAATCTTTCATATTTCATTAAAGAGCTACTCCATTCTCCCAGGTGCAGGTGCTCAGCTGAAACTCACTGGCAGCATCCTTGACTCTCATCTTCTGTTATATTCTACTTCCAAATCATCAGGAAATCAGATCATTTAACATCACCTCCAGCATTACACTACCTTAATCCAACCACCATAATCCCTCTTTTAATTGACCTCTCTTGTGTTTTTTCAATCTACTCTCCACACAGCACCCAGAAAAAAAATTCCTATAAAACAGAAATCTAGTAAGATCACTCTTGACTTTAAAGTCTCTAATTAAACTATCCTCACCTTACAATGTCTTCCAATATTGAGCTGAATAGTTCTACAGGATTTTCCCACTCTCCAACACTTCTTTTTGCTTACCTGACTCTGTTATTATTCACCCCATGCTACTCTAGTTGCAGAGATCACTTTGCTGTTCTTAGCAAGGTCTCAAAAAGGTCCCACTTCATGACATCTGCACTTGATGTTCTCTGTCAAAAATGCTCTTTCTCTATATAAATAGTTTTCTTATCTCTTATGGGCCTTTGTTGATAGTGAAGTCTTCCCTGATCACACCTTATTCACCCACAGGTAAGTGTTCCCCCAATTCACTGGCCCTGTTTTTTATTTCTCCCCCCAAAATACAACACTATATGACTTCATATATATGTGTATGTGTGTGTATGTATATGTGTGTAGTCATATGCTACTTAACAATAGGGATATGCTTCTTTGTCAATTGTGTTTAGACAAGCATCTTAGAGTATACTCACATAAGCCTAGATGGTATAGGTCAATCATCCCTCTTGGCCTTTTGATGCACTTGAGAGATACAGTAAACACAAGATGCATGAGGCTCCTGCTAGAGTAAATGGTATTTACAGTAATTTTTTATAAGTAGAAGCAATATACTTTAAAATGATGATCTAAAATTATAGTATAGTACATACATAAATTGGTAACACTCATGTATTAGCATTAGCAATTGTTAATGTACATACCTTATACATACATTATTGTATGTGTTGTATTTTTATACAACTGACAGTGCAGTATGCTTGCTTATATCATCATTACCACAAACACATGAGTAATGTGTTATGACATTACAATGCCTACCATATCACTAGGCTGGAGGCTGCCAGCTAATTTTGTTCCTTGCAGATGAACAATTTTCTTTCACAAAGCTAGCAACATCACCTTTATTTGAAAACTTGATAGAAATGGAAATTTTCAGGACTTATCTCATATCATAAACTCTGGGGGTGGGACCCAGAAATCTGAGCATTCTTGTGATTACAGTGCATGCTAAAATTTGACAACCACTGTGCTATAAACAACTTGACAGAGATATATGGAAGGAAACCACAAATACACAACTGGAGTTTGAATAGGGTGTGAGGTGTCAAAACATCCACATTTTGAAGTCAATTGATAACTGAAATGATGGGAGCTCACAAGAAATAGCAAATACAAATAAATTGCTGCCATTTTAGAACATTAAGATAAGCTATTAAAATACCTGATCTCACTATCAGGTAAGTATTATCATTATCATTTTTTACAGATGAGGGAACTGATACTAAGAAGTTTAAAATTTTGTTTTCCTTCCATATCCATGTCCTTGATTGCCATAGTATTGTCTTCAGCATATAGTAAGAAAGAAAGTTTTGCATAGAACTCAAAGACTTGGTAAAATGAACTAATCAAGAATTAAAAGAAAAATGGAAATACAAGGAGGGAGTTATATTAGTCAGTTTTTCATTACCGTGACCAAAATCTTGACAACAACAACTTTGATGAAAAAAAGTTTATTTTGGCTCATGGTTTGGAGGTTCAGTCCATGGTTGAATGGCTCCATTGCTCTGGGCTCAAGGTTAGGTAGAACATCATGGCAATGTTCTATCCTCCACTCACAATAGCCAGGAAGCAGAGAGCAGGGGGAAGGGGCTGCAGGGAAGATAAACCCTTCCAGGATACATCCCCAGTGACCCACGTCCTCCAGCCATGGCCCACCTGTATACAGTTACCACTCAATCCATTCAAACTAGGCTGGACTGATTAGGTTACAGCTCTCATAACCTAATCTTTTCACCTCAGAATAGTCCTGCATTAACACAGGAGCCTTTGGAGGACACCTCATATCCAAAGCATAACATCAGTCTAGGTGAGGAAAGTTTTAGGAAGGAAGATATACTTGCAATGGTTTGGTTTGTAATATTTTTTTAATAGGTGGGTATATAAGTCACAGAAGATGTAGAACTTTAAAAAAAAATTATGGGGCTGGGGATGTGGCTCAAGCAGTATCACGCTTGCCTGGCATGCGTGGGGCACTGGGTTCCATCCTCAGCACCACATAAAAATAAAATAAAGATGCTGTGTCCACCGAAAACTAAAAAAAAATATTAAAAAATTCTCTCTCTTTAAAAAAAATTATGGAATCTGTTTATGTCTCTGCGTCTCAAGTTTTATTAATAGAAATGTTGAACATGACCAGGCGCAGTGTTCTATACCTGTAATCCCAGCCAAGGCAGGAGGCTCATGAGTTCAAAGCCGGCTTCAGTGAAGTGCTAAGCAACTCAGTGAGACCCTGTCTCTAAATAAAATACAAAAATAGGGCTGGGGACGGGGCTCAGTGGTTGAGTGCCCCTGAGTTCAATCTCTGGCACCCACTCCCACAAAATAATAAAATTAAAAAAAAAAAAAACTTTGAACATGAAGTGGGGGGCGGTAAATGGTTAATATTATTTAAAGAGGTGTCATGGAAATAGAATTAAGTCACTTTTACATTTAAGTAGATAGAGGTGAAATCAAGGAAGAAAAACAGAAGTTACTAATGACCAGAATAGATTCTGTGCACACAGAAAACTGGACTAACCAAGTAGTCAATCAGGACTCATTTTTAGACTAAAGAATCAATTACATTATTTTACAAAGTGAGTGATCATTTGCTTGTGATAGTCTCTCCAAATGGAAAATCCATTCATGAAATGAAAGCTGGGGGAGGGAATGATGAGATTGAGTGGATCTGGTGAGGAGCTGGGGGAAGTTAATTTCTGTTTGAACAAGAGGTGAATGGAAAGCCAGTAAGGCTGGTGGAATTAAGAGAATATGAAAGGTAAGATGGCAGAAATGGTCAGACCAAACCCATCAGGGAATACTACAACTCAAAGAGATCCATTAACTAAAGGCTCAAACCACCTTAAGATATGGAAGTATAACACAACTGACCAGATTACAATTTCTTTTGTTACATCAGGCTTCAGAGAATACCACCTGGCAAGCTTTATTGTTTGTAATACCTCCTAAATTCCAGCAGCCCACTATTTGTGTTTTTCTACAGATGGTTAATTTGCCACATGTTGATTTTTCACAGTTTCAGTATCAGAAATTAGCCTTTTAAAAACTTGGTCTTGGGGGCTGGAGGTGCAGCTCAATGGTAGAGTGCTTGCCTAGTATGAGGACATGAGTTCCATCCCCAGCACCCCCTCAGAAAAAAATCTGGCCATTTTCTGATCCCCTATTTTCCCTTTATATACAGTTTTTGTACTTCTTTTATAAGGATAAACTAGGACTAATACATGGGAATATAATCCTGTACTTATTCCTCATCAATATTCCAAATAATGTTACTCAAATATTAAAAACAATTTTAGCATTTTAAATCTTTTATTATCCCATGAACTTTATGCAGAATGAATTACTATCTTTCTAACAACATTGATTAATACTTAACTATAAGTTTACTAGGCACTCACCACATGCCAGGTAGCATTGTGTACTGGGGTAACACAGAATCCTGAGGTTCTAGTAGCAAGAGAGAAATAAGGTCAGTGATATCAATTTAATGGAAAAAGGAATGTTTAATTTATTCTTGGTATGTTGGCAAATTTGTCCAAGAAGTGAATTGGGCTGAGTCTGCACAGGGAGTTCCTTATAAAAGGGACAAGGAATCACTTACTCCTACCTCCCTAGTTTGATAATTTAGCAATTGTTTCTGTTTCTTAAAATAACAGAAAAAAAACAGAAGAAAGAGTTACAAGAATAAAGGAGCAGAAATCTTATTTACTTCATACCTGAGGTGGGGCAATTGTCTTTAAACATATTTCAAGTCTGAAAGTAAATGTTTATAAAACAGGATTCACAATCAAGGGAAAGGGGTGGAGGAAAAGGAAGATCAGTTTGTTGTATTAAGTTAAAACAAATGAGTAAAAATCAATATTTATGCTTGGGAATACATATACCATCTTTCATAAAAGATTCTAAAATTGAAAATGAAAGCCTATGGACCCATATCCAACATCATAACATTTGCCCTAGTGTTTTGTATTTCTAATATCATTTTTAAAAAATGTTTTTTACAGTTGTAAATGGACAACATGCCTTTTTAAATTTATTTTTTTAACGTGGTTCTGAGGGTCAAACCCAGTGCCTCACACATGCTAGGCAAGGGCTCTGCCACTGAGCTACAGCCCCAGCCTTCCTAATATAATTTTTAAAAGTTCTAAAGAGAGTCTGCCAAAGTACTTGGCAGCACCCTACCCCCTATAGTATGCTTGTCTTTGAAACAATCAACAGTACCCCAACCAAGTTCTTACTTACCCTGACTTGCCCATCTTCACATCTTTCTAAGTCTGGCTTTAAACTATAACTTTTAAAAGGCAATTTTTTTAGCTGTAAGTTTTGTCATTCCACCTCCTCACCGCCCCCATTCAATTACTCCTTTCAAATTCTATTAGTTTCGCTTTTCTCCCTGAAGGGACTCTAGAAAATATATGAACAACACAATCACAAAAGCAAAGGCTGCAGCAGCCAGAGCCTGAACATGCACACTAACACCCAGTCCTATCCCTCTTGAGGTTGTTCTACCACTGATCAAAATCAGCGGACCAGGAAGAAGGAAAAAGCTGAAGCAGGAAGGTTGTTCCTTTCCTTCCACTTCCCCCACGCCAGGCACCCCTTAGATCTCCCGTCCCCAGGGCCGCATCCCGACTTTTCAATCACCGCCCCCAGCACATACACACACCCGCCCCCGCTGTCACCCGCCACTGCCTGCGAAACAGTCATAGCCTTTGTTAAAACGTCCACGAGCACAATGGACCAGAAGAGGGACACATTCCCGGGGGCGGGGTAAAGGAAAGTCACACGAAAGCTACGCCCTCCTTGGCACAAGCCCGGGCCAACAGCCCACCTCTAAATCCTCTCCCCAGCGATGGTGAAGGTTTCTGGCAACTATGCACCCCGAGAAGGCAGTGAGGGGGAAGGGATGTGTCTGGGACGCTGCTCAGGGGCACCAAGCAGGGGGACTGAACTTGAAGCTGGGACACTCTCCAGCGCCCTTGGCCAGCTTCCCGATCCTGCCAACCCCGTGTGTGGACTTCCAACCTCTGGAGCCTTTCTCCAATTTTTCTCCTTATACACACCCTCGCCCACTCTCCACAAGCACTCAGTTCCCCACGCGGTCCTGGCCGGACACCCTTAGGCAACGTCACCACCAGTGCTGCCTCACGTCTAGTTAGTTTCTCTTTGCTGTACTGAAATCACCCCCACGCACCCCGATCCCTCCTGGGACGCTCGCCTGGGACCAAGTTACCCAGGAGGAGCCCGGAGCTCCTGCCACACTTACCGCGCGTCCCTCTCCGCTACTCAGCGCTCTGAGAGTTGCTCGCCGCGCCTGCGCGCTCCCACAACTGCCGAGTCCAGCGGGAGCTAGCAGGCAGGAGAGGACGGGAAGGGAGGTGATAAGCTACAGGACCGGGTTGGGGCGGAGTTATGAAATAAGGGGCGGGGCTAGTCAGGGTGGGGAATGAGGGGCGGGGCCAGGCGGAGTGGGAAACGGAGGAATGAAGGGAGGAGTGGAGCCTCTGCTGTCACCACTGCCTCTGCCAGGAAGACCGACTACCCTGTGCATCGGTCTGGGGCTCTCCACTCTTGGTAGACAGAAAAGCCATCGAGGCGCCTCTGCACTCTCAAAAAAAAAAACAGACCTGGCGCAGGGCCAAACAGTCAGCCCTCGGGACTTCCTCAAGCCACATAGATTCCTGCCAGACTTTACCCCTTCACATGCCTATCTAACTACACATTTTTCTTTCCTTTGTCACTGCTCATCATGCACAGTCCTCAGCCCTTGTGAAGGGAGTGGAGATTTCTCTTCCACAGATGACCTATGCAGGTATTCGAGCGAGTCCAGATCATGACTGGCAACCATCCAAGCATTGCCCACTGTTACAGTTCTGGGAATTGCCCTTTCCCTAAGGACAAACTCTCTTGCCCTGCTTCTGGACAACTTTTGGGGACAACAGTGTGCTTTCTCTTGGGAAAAAAAAAATCTTGAACAAACCTACAGTAATATTTTGGAAAGGAGAGAACATAGATTGTCAAATAACACCCATCTTTGAATCTGCCTTTTAGGCTGCTACTTTAGAATTTGTATTTTAGAATATTAAAAGCCCTTCTTAGAAACAAAATAAAAGATCTGTGCTGTTGTGGAGATGACAACCTAAGAGCTGAAGGTTTTCTGGAATTTAGCATTCTAGGGAGCCTAACTTGATTATTATTCCATGCTGCATGTGTGCTTAATTGGAAGTTCTATGCTTTTCTGTTTAGATTCTGGTCAGCTGTGGCACCTCACATGCCTTCAGATCGGCTATTAAAATAAACACACACCTGAGTGAATCCAAAGTGAATTGTGCTGTGGGCCTGAAGTGATTTATTCCAAACTAATTTCCCCCTTTTCTTTTTACTTTAGTAATGATGGAATTAAGGCGTGTTTGGCTCATTAAGAATAAAAGAATCACCACAGGATCACACCAATATTCCTTCCCAGCAAGTATTTTGATTGTAATTGTAGCATTTTTACGGAAGAATCTGGTGATTGCCTTTAAAGATAAGACTATCATGAAAATCTTCTTATCAACCTTTATGGTTCTTTCATTTGTGTATTTTACAAAGCCAACTTTCTTGAACACATTTCTATTTTGCATTTGTCAAATAAGCATAAAGAGATTGTAGGAAGGACTTATTGCAGAAAAGTATGTTGGCAAATACAGACACAGATGAATACATCTGTAAGTGTCCGGAAGCAGGGCATTGTCCTATTCATTTCACTAGTAAAAGTTTCCCTTATGGAAGGTACTTTAAAAACACAATGGGTTAATAAAAATAATTTTTTGCATCCTAATAGATGTGTATATGTAGGTTTTTAAAAACTTTTCATTTAATTACTGGGTTTATTTATTTATTGTCTGCATTTGTCAGGTTATTTTGTTTGGAGTAACAAATACTAAGTTGAAGTAGCTTAGGTTATTGTGTAACCCAAGTTGTAATTCTATGATTGGTCTTGGGGATAAATGGAACCAGAAGCTAGAATGCTTCAAATTCCAGTTCAGGCTCTCAATCTTACCACTCTCAGACAGGGTCATTTTTTTTCTAAACCTCCCAAAGTCATGAACTACAGGCTTGGAACCATGGCCTCTGAGAAGTAGGAATGGGATTATGCCTATTAAATTGCTATCAGACAGAAGATGTCTTTCTTTCCCCATTTCCAGTTTTGTTTTGTTTTATTTGTTTGTTTGTTTTTGATTTTGAGACAGGGTCTCAACATCATTCCAGTTTTTAAAACACCAAAGGAAGAGCCTAATTGTGTGGGTTTGGGTATCATAACCACTCCTGTAAAGAAAATACATGTGTGACCTAAGGAAAAAATAAAGAGAAATATTTCTAAATGAAAAGGTTAGATGGACATGCTATTTTCAGAAGAAGAAAAAGATACACATCTTACATTTTTAGAGGACAGAAGTCTAAAAATAGTCACACTGGGCTAAAGTAAGATGTCCACAGAGTAGAGATCCTTTCTGGAGACTCTTTGGAAGACTTCTTTCTTACCTTTTCCAATTTCTAGAGGCTGTCCCCATTTCTTAGTTCATGGCCCCCTTCCATCTTCAAATTCAGCCATGATATTACTCTGACACTCATTTTTAAAACTGAATTGCTGTGTGGCGGGGTACTGGAGAATAAACCCAGAAGTCCTTTACCACTGACCTATATCCCCACCCTTTTCAAACCTTTTAAAAATTTGAGATGTGGTCTCATTAAATCGCTGAGAGTCTGGCTAAGTTGCTGAGGCTGACTTCAAACTTGTGATCCTCCTGCTTCAACCTCCTGAGTAGCTGGAATTATAGGTGTGTGCCACTGTGCATAGCTGACACTGACATTTTTGCCTACCTTGTCTACATTTAAGGACCCTTGTGATTATATTAGGCCCATCCAGATAATCCAAAATAATATTTCTTTAGAGGAATTAGAGTTATAGATAGAATTATTGTTCTTGTGGTTGTTGTTGTTATGGTTGATAATCACCTGACCTTCAGATTTTCACAGGTTCTGGTATTAAGACATAGATATGTATGGGGCAGGGATTGGGGAGAGCTGGCATTATTATCCCTACCAAAGTATTTATTTTCATAAAAATAATGGAGCCTAATCCATTGGTTTTCAAAGTGGGGCATTTATAAACAAAAATACTGACTTCTGGATCCCACCCATTATAATTTAATTGGCCTGGAGTTCCTTCACCCCTTTAAACATACACACACGTACAAAGCATGCACACATGCACACATGCACTCACACACACACACACACACACACACACACACAGAGTTAACTGGATTAAAATGGGACATCTCACCACGCTGGGCCAATGGAGAACTTCCCTGGGGATTTAGAATAGGGAGAGGCAATTGGTAATATTGAGTTCCAATGCTATATCATATCCATGTAGGTGCTGTAGCATCAGGAGAAGTAGAGAAAACAAGACTGGAGGGAATGGGAGAGACAAAGAAAAAGGTAGACAGAGTGTAGCTGAGCCTGCATCCTCAATGGTTGTCTGACTCATGATTAAAATAGCTTTCTTAACTCTGGGATTCTATGAGGAATCACTGAATCCACATAAGAAAGTCACTTATTCTACCAAAGCTAGCTCAAGTTGATTTCTCTTACAGAAACCCTAAAGTGTTCTAATTAATATGTGATGTAAGCTTAATTTTCCTCCAGTTACTTCTTTTGATATGTCTGTTGTTTAATAAATAAGGCAAGATTAAAAACCAAACTTTTAGAGTTGTTATTACAGATCATCCTTCTACATCACTAGCACTCATCTGTTGAGAGCCACAACCAAAGAGGCCCCAGCAAACACACACGCCTCACCACAGGAGCTCTTCAGGAATTCCCTCAGAGCCCAACTGCCACCACCAGGTTCCGCTGAACCTCTCAACCCGCACTCCTCCCGCTCTTGAGGGCCATTGGCTGGGTATCATGGGCGGAGCCAAAAGAGTCCCCCAATGAGCAGTTTCGGGATCTGAAAGGGCGGGGAAACAACCCAATGACCATCACTGCAGAGGAGCCAATCAGCTGGAAGTTTGCTGGGGCAACTTCAGCTGTGGCACTCAACACTCATCTCTGTTATCCCATATTCTTCTACTCCTCCATTCTCTTAATAGTTACTCAAAGTCTTTGAAAGGGGCTTCTCCCTCCAACAGTCCAGTTTCCCTCAGACATACCAGTCAAGTATAGATCCTGCTTAACTGATGTCCAGTCAATAATAATGACTTGCAAATCAAATCTCTAGCATTAAACCCTTTCCTGATTTTCAGATCTATGGTAACAGCTGGCTAATGGATCCTTCTTCTTCAAGGTAAAAGAAATAGAACTCAGTTTTTCTCCCCAGATCTGCCTTTTTATTGCATTTTCTTTCCTTGTTAATGAAACCACCATGAACCTACTACATACATTCAAAGTGGAAATAACTAATGACCACTTTGTCTTAATTCCCAGGTGTCTATTCATTCTACCTCCTTTATGTTTCACATATTAATTCCTCTCTCTTGCCTCACTTCAGATTGATCCTCAATCACTTGAGCTACAACATGGTCTCCCAATTCATCTTCTTGTCTTTAATTTCTCACAAATCCAATCCACCTGTTATGATTTGGAAAGGAGGTGTCCCACCAAAAGCTCCTGTGTTAATACAGTAATATTCAGAGGTAAAATAACTAGATTATGACAGCTGTAACATAATCAGTCAATCCAAGTTTGAATGGAATGACTGTGTGGTAACTCTAGGCAGATGGGGTGTGGCTGGAGGAGGTGGGTCACTGGGGGTATGCCTTTGGAGGTTATATCTGGTCCCTCTGGCTCCTCCTTCTCTCTTTGCTTCCTAACCACCGTGAGCAGAGCAGCATTCTGTCATTGTGCCCTTCTGCCATAATGCTCTGCCTCAGCTTAGGCCCAGAGCAATGGAATCAGTTGACCGTGGACTGAATCTCTAAAACCATGAGCCAAAATAAACTTTTCCTCCTCTAAGTTGTTCTTCTCAGGTATTTTTGGTCACAGTGACATAAAGCTAATACACCATCCTTCCCAATTTTGCCGATTATCTTTACAAACACAAATATGATCAAGCCTCTGTACTGCTTAAAAACATTTTATGACTACTATTCACTTAAATTACAAACTCCTTAGGCACAATCAAATTTTCTAATTATCTGGCTCTATCACGCCTTTGCAAATTCGTATCCCCACTCATCATATACATATACCCTAGGCTATTATTTCAATTTGTCTTATATTTTCTTTTTCTTTTTTGATACGATAGATTTTACTTATAAAATGATGTAAATATCATTTGAAATTAGGAAACAGTGCAAATTTTTATTCATAAAATTATAAATA